TAATGGAAAGTTAATAATAATTCACTAAAAACTTGGGCACAGTATCCATTCTACATTTAACACTGGCACTTCAGTGGGTGAAATTCTATAATGTGACAATACTTATCACTCTAGTCCACTCCAGTCCAACCCAATTCAATTCAAGAATGTAATTTTGACTACAGGATCTTTCCTTTAAGAGGCTTATGATCTTAATCCGGAAAATAAGCAAAGTGCACAACTCATGATGGTAGACAGGAAGGAGAGGGCTCTGAAAATTGGCAGGCAGTTTCAAGGAGGAAGAGAAGAAAACTAAAACTGGATAACAAGAATTTCAAAAGGCACAATTGAGATGTGAACTCCATATTCGGAGGTTTCTTACCGTCCTATCTTGGGCCGTCTGCTCTTCTTTTCCCTAACACAAGGGGTTTCACTCATTCCTATGGATTTAAACGCCACCGTTAAGCAGTGACTCTTAAATGGGTATCTTCAGGCTTCACTTTTCCTCTCCTCTGAGCTCCAGACTCACATATCCAACTACCTACTTAGCATCATCTTCATCTTAATATTCACTTCACAAATTCACAGTGAGCACTCCCTAGGGGCCAGACACCCTCAAAATGGGTTAGCACAGTGGACATGACCAGAAAGGTCCCTGCTGACATGGAGCTTACATTTTACTGCAGTAGGATAGGTAATAAAAGAGTTAATAAACGACATAATTTCAGAAAGTGTTAGTGCTATCAAGGGAACAAAATAGGATAACAGGACGGAAAATGAGTAAGGAGTTTGCAAAGGGATCTGCTGCTGGATTGCTCTGGAGGACAGCCTTCAGGAAATATCAGATGCCTTTTGTTTGTTTGTTTTAGAGATGGAGTCTCGCTATATTACCCAGGCTGGTCTCAAACTCCTCAGCCTCCCAATAGCTGGAACTACAGTCTCGTGCCACCATTCCTGTCTTTCAGATGGCTTTTTTGTTTGAAGCTATTGATTAGAATGCTGACAGAACTAAGGAACGGACACTTTATTATACATATTTGTAGTAAAAGTTCTGTAACCTTCTTATAAAAAAATCTAAAAAGTAGAGAGACAATAATCACCCCTACTCACACCAATCCAGGTACCATCAATTACCACCACTGGCATTTTGGTGTACTTTCTTTCAAAGTTACTCCTCTTGCATAAAATATACAAAATTTTATTCACCCAATTCCTGATATAAACTTTTTGAGGGAAGGTACCATCATTTATCTGTGTTCTTCCAGTGGTTTATGTTTAATTACCTGACTTTAAAAAACTTTAAGGCACTGGATTTACTCTAACCAGGTTAAAAACATGTGAGAGAAAAATATGTCTGTAATATCTGAGCCATGTTTTCATGGAATTTGACTGTGACTCTACTGGCACCTTTGAATAACAAGTTTATAATACCTTGAGGATTTTCCATTTCTAGTTGACGCTGGACCAAGCTCTAACAATAAATATAATTTAAAACACAGAGAATTACTCTAATTATAAAGATAATAAAAATTAGGCCGGGCGAGGTGGCTCACACCTGTAATCCCAGCACTTTGGGAGGCTGAGGAGGGTGGATCACCCGAGGTCAGGAGTTCAAGACTAGCCTGGCCAACATGGCAAGACCTTATCTCTACTAAAATACAAAAAGTAGCTGGGCGTGGTGGCAGGAGCCTGTAATCCCAGCTACTTGGGAGGCTGAGGCAGGAGAATTGCTTGAACCTAGGAGGCGGAGGTTGCGGTGAGCCGAGATCGTGCCATTGCACTCCAGCCTGGGCAACAAGAGCAAAACTCCGTCTAAAAGAAAAAAAGATAGTAACTCTCAGTATGGGTCAAATCATTGAGAATCTTCTTACTAAGCAAAAATAAAAGCACGCTTGGGCTTCTTATTCACAAAATCAATATAACTCCTTGAAAAGTAAAACATTTTATGATTTATGTAATGTTGAATAATTCTCAGAATTGGTTGAAATCAACAGATTCATCTTGCATTATAATTGTATAATCTTTTCTTAGAAGGAAAAAAACTCTTTTGAGATTTATTTGTTATTTCAACTCTGCCCAGCCGCTTACCTCCACCAAAAACATAAGGTTGAAATGGAAGAGAAGTTGACTGTCAGATTTCCTGACCAATGTGTCTGAGACACTGACTTAGACCCTCCAAAGAGTGGAAAGTTCTTATGCTAAATAGCAGCAGTTCTCAAATTTGGCTGCATACTAAATCATCCAGCAAGCTTCTGCAGACAGAATGCCTGGGCCCCATCCCAGACCATCTGGGGCAGAGAGAGGCATCCGAGTTTTTAAAAAGTTCTGATAAAAAGGTGGTGGCTCATGCCTGTAATCCCAGCACTTTAGGAGGCTGAGGCTGGTGGATCACGAGGTCAAGAGATCAAGACCATCCTGGCCAACATGGTGAAACCTTGTCTCTACTAAAAACACAAAAATTAGCTGGGCATGGTGGCGCATGCCTGTAGTCCCAGCTACTCGGGAGCCTGAGGCAGGAAATCACTTGAACCCAGGAGGCAGAGGTTGCACTGAGCCAGGATCATGCCACTGCACTCCAGCCTGGCAAAAAAAAAAAAAAAAAAAAAAGTTCCCTACATGGTTCTGCTGCACAGAGAAGGGTAAGAGCCACTTGGGTAGAGCACACACACCGCAAGCACACACATGTCTAATCACAGCCATCATTACCTGCACAGGTGCTTCTCCCTCAGATGCATCTTGATGGACAGGCAGGTTGCTCTTCTTCACCAAATAGGTTTTATGACTTATTTTTGAGTTCTCCTTTAACACAATTACACACAGTCAACAAGATTGGTTCTGAGTGAGCTCTGAAGGCTACTTGGCTGATGCATGATCAATGATGGAATGGCTGGACAGAACCCTTTTGATGGCTCCTTTTCCCCCCCGCAGCCTCAATATTTCCCAAATCCCTCTTCCATAGTCTCTGTAGAAATGTCTGCTATCCATTTTTGCAGGGCTCAGGCTGCCCATCCCAGATCAGCTTCAGACATAAGGCTGATGATGGCTCCAGGCTGCCCACCATGAGCCAGGCCTCTGCTCTGGAGAGAACAACCTCCAGGCTGCCCCTCCCAGCACATGCAGTCCTCTATCCCAACCTTCGCATGACTCTTTCAGGAAGCCCACCCTCCTCTCTTAACTCTGCCTCTCCATATTCCACTCTTCTTCTCAGACACAGTTTAGGCCCCACCCACTTCTTCCATAAACACCCGCTTCCTGCTCATTCTGCTCATCTTGACTCCTGTGCACCTACAGGGCTTACCCTATGATTGTTTTATACATGTGTCTCATCATTCCAACCATTTACAAGTAGAATTGCATATGCCAGAAAGAATAGCGGTTATAATTGTATTTTTTTATTTTTTGAGACAGGGCCTCCCTCTGTTGCCCAGACTGGAGTGCAGTGGAACAACCTCAGCCTCCCACCTCAGCCTCCTGAGTAGCTGGGACTAGAAGCATTTACCACCATGCCCCACTAATTTTTTAAATTTTTTGTACAGATGGAGTCTCATTATGTTGCCCAGGCTGGTCTCAAACTCCTGGGCTCAAGCAATCCTTCTGCCTTGGCCTCCCAAAGTGCTAGGATTACAGGCATGAATGTGAGTAGGGGTTTTAGAGTCAGATTTTTGTTTTATTTTACTTTATTTTATTTTTTTGAGACAGAATCTTGCTCTGTATCCTAGGCTGGGGCACAGTGGCACAATCATGGCTCACTGCAGCCTTTAGCTCCCAGCTCAAGCAATCCTCCTGCTTTAGCCTCCCAAGTAGCTAGGACTATAGGTGCAAACCACCATGCTCAGCTAATTTAAAATTTTTTTGTATATATCTGTGTATATACACATATATATACACACATATATATGTTTAGAGCTAGGGTTTCCCTATGTTGCCCAGGCTGGTCTCAAATTCCTGGGCTCAAGCGATCCTCCCACCTCAGCCTTTCAAATTGCTGGGATTACAGTCATGAGCTACCATGCCCAGCCTAGAGTCAGATATTGAAATATTTAGTCTGCCTTGTAATAGCTACGTGACTTTGGATGAACTACTTAACTTCTCTGTATGGGGTAAATAAAAGAAAGTATGTATGTGATATGGTTTGGCTGTGTCCCCACCCAAATCTCACCATGAACTGTAATAATCCCCGTGTGTCAAGGGTGGGGCCAGGTGGAGATAACTGAATCATGGGGGCAGTTTCCCCCATACTGTTTCCATGGTAGTAAGACTCACAAGATCTGATGGTTTTGTAAATGAGAGTTCCCCTGCACAAACTCTCTTGCCTGCCTTCATGTCAGGCATGACTTTGCTCCACCCTTCCCTTCTGCCATGATTGTGAGGCCTCCCTAGCCATGTGAAACTGTGAGTCTATTAAACCTCTTTTTCTTTATAAATTACCCAGTCTCGGGTATGTCTTTATTAGCAGTATGAGAACAGACTAATACAGTATGTGAAAGCTCTGGTTCACAGCCTGGCAAAAACAACTGAATTGCACCATACATTCATTTGACTTATATGAATATATTTATCTGTATGCACTGCGGTAGAAGAGAAAGAGAGAGCGATCAATTTCAGCAGCATGGTGGCTCTACTCAATGAGTGTGTGGCCAAGTCCATGTGGGATGCGAGACAGCCATCTCAGTGCCTGCAAGCTTCTCCTAAGAGAGCATTCCAGGGCACTGAGTGCGTTCCTAGTGTTTCAATAGCCATGTGTCTTCCTTACAACATGGTTTCCAAACACAGGCTGGCTATTTCATCTGCAGCTCTTCTGAAGAAGCAGTGATCTGTGCCAACTCTAGAGACCTTCTTGGGAGATGGAAGGATGAATTTCCAATGTGGCGCCTTTAAGAAATTTTTAAGCAGCAGTTCAACTGCACTCAGATTTTGCCTTAAATAGCCTTTAGAACCTTACCCTGCAGAGAGTTGAAAAAATGCTAGTGTGTTGTTGTTGTTGTTGTTGTTGTTGTTTTGCTCCTTCTGGGCATGAACTTACACTCATTTTGTACTTTCTGCATCTAATCCAGTTCTGGTCTAAAGTTGCTGCTCAGTAAATACATATTGAGTGATTCATAAGAAAAACAATCAATAAGTACTCTTAATAATAGCCATCCCTGAGAATCTCAGATATCCTTATTATCTTGTGGAGTCTCTCGTAAACCATAATAAACTGAAGCTCCAATGAGGTCTGACAGCTTTCCTATTAAAAAAGAATTCTGCATGATTATCTCTATGATAAAACTTTATCTTTTCTGTGAGAAAATCATTACTTTTAATACCGGCTCAATTTAGTTAGCTCTAAATCGATAGGACAATGTTTCCCCTAGAAGAATGAATTTACCTCTGGTTCTCTCCCCATCTTCTTTCTAATTTCTTTCACGTCATTGTGGTACTGTTGGCGTATTTCCTCTAACTGCTTCCAATATTCCTGGAAAGCAAACCCAATCCAGAAACTTTAAATGTTTATGAACACCATAACCAAAATAATATTTATGCAGCCTACAATTTCAAAAGTGTGTAATATAAAATAAGGTTAGAAAAATATGTTGCTCCTAAAGATGATAATCTGTCTTATGTTTTGGCTCTGGTACTTCACACCCTGTGAGACAGTAGCTTCAGCTACAAAGCTCAATTTTATATACAACCCAAATGTGTTCATGACGTACACTGACTTTATAAATCCCACTTTTATATATAACCCTCTTACGCACTGAACTTTGTCTCTCCCCAAAAAGAAATATGTTGAAGTCCTAATCCCCAGTGCCTAAGAATGTGATCCCATTTGAAAACGGGGTCACTGCAGATGAGACTAGTTAAGGTGAGATCATACTGGTGGGCCCTTAGTTCAATATGACTGGTGTCCTTGCAAGTAGATGGCCATGTGAAGACGGACACACAGGAAGAACAGCATGTGATACAGGCAGAGAATGGAGTGATGTGACTGCAAGTAAAGGAATGCCAAAGACTGCCAGCGACACACCAGAAGCTGGGAAGAGGCAAGGAAGGATTCCCCTACAGGTTTCAGAGGGTACTTGGTACTGCTGGCACCTTGATTTTGGATTTCCACTCTCCCAGAATTATGAGACAATACATTTCTATTGTGTTAAGCCACCTAGTTTGTTGAACTCTGTTACAGCAGCCCAGGAAACTAATACAAATCCCAAATCTGTTAATGAGGGACAGTTACTCTGTGAATCGCAAGGTGAAAAGCTGTATGAACTTAGCCATATTGCATTATCTGAAAAAGTGAAATACCTAACTCTGTATCCCCTGTAACACTCAGCATGGTGTTGACATATTCAGGGGCACTGTAGGAAACAGAAGTAACTTCCTATTACAGTACAAAAGACAGTAATACAAAGAAATACAAGGGTAGCCCTGGAATTAACGTTTTTAACCTGTTCCTTCATTTCGTTTTTCCTAAATGGCCACTCCTGGAATCTAGGCTCTTCTCCATTACTTCTTAGCTCTTGTCTCTGGTTGTGATTTGGCTCGGCAGAAGATGGACGAAGACCCTATTTATTGAATGAAATA